AGAAGAAGAAGAAGAAGAAGAAGAAGAAGATGGTCTTTGTCGTTTGCTTACCTGCAGTCAGAATGTAAGATCATGGAGCAATGATGCTTCCGCCCGCAGAAATGGTCTTCCTCGGTTGCATGTTGGAGACAGAAGGAAGATGGACATAACAGAGGCCAGAAAAGGACAAAAAAAAAAAAAAGAAGGAAAAGAAAGAGAAGATGGTCTTCGTCAAAAAAAAAAAAGAAAAAAAAAAAAAAAAAATTGAAGAAGAAGAAGATGGTCTTTCGTCCTTTGCTTACCTGCATGAAAGATGGACATAACAGAGCCCAGAAAAGAAGAAGAAGAAGAAGAAGAAGAAGAAGAAGAAGAAGAAGAAGAAAAAAAGAAAAAAAAAAGAAAGGAGAAGATGGTCGTCGTCGTCAAAAAAAAAAAAAAAAAAAAGGACGAGGAGATGGTCTTCGTCCTTTGCTTACCTGCTGTCAAGATGTAGGATGGAGCAATGATGCTTCCTCCGCAGAAATGGTCTTCCTCAGTTCCATTTGGGTACAGAAGAGAGATGGAGGCATGGAATGCAAAATAGGCTTGTTCTGCTGGAGCGACAGTTTGACCATTCACGATGGCCTTTCTTCGAGCAATCTGACGGTTGCCCTCCGCCGGGGAAGACAGCGGTTTGGCGCTGGATGAGGCAAGGCTAGTGCTACCCACTATTAGTAGAAGCAGCAGTGAAAGCTTTGGAAGGAGGGTCAGCGGCGACAGCAGCAGCGACAGCCATAGCCGTCCGCCATCAAGCTTTCGACCTCTGCTGCGCTCACTGCAGAGCCGTCCTTCTTCATCGCCAGGGAAGCTGGTGAGCGCCCAACTGAAGTCGCTCTCTCCAATGGCAGCCATAGCTGAGAGTACGTGCAAGCTCCAGCAGCCGCAGCAGCAGGATAGCACCAGCAGCAACACAAGAAGAAGAAGAAGAAGAAGAAGAAGAAGAAGAAGAAGAAGAAGAAGAAGAAGAAGAAGAAGAAGAAGAAGAAGAAGAAGAAGAAAGGCTATACTTCTGAGGAGAAATGGCGACGTTGCAAGACGTGAGCAAACTGAGACGTAGGTGGGCGTGAAGGCATGGGAAGGACGAGATCATTGGAGATGAAGCAACGAGGGGGTAAATGGGCTTGGATCAAAAGAGGAGGAGCAGGAGGTAGTTTCCCCTGGGTATGAGGAAGCCACGTGGCAGCTGACATGGCAGTTCTATTGATAAGGGAGAAGGAGTGAGTCGATGGGTTGGATTGGGTTGGGGTGGGTGATGGTCAATGACAGCAGGGGGTGGAAGGCGGGAGGCGGGAGGCGGGAGGCGGGAGGCGGGAGGCGGGAGGCGGAGGGCGCGGGGGAGGCAATTGCCCAGCTTTTGCACAAGCGAACCTTCAGCGGGAGAACGCCATGAGGATGAAAAAGGATATAATTATATAATTATATAATATATGAATTTTATAGTCTATACGTTATATCATATAATTCCACGCCGATTAAACGTGTTACCCGAATAGAACGCAATGTTGGGAAAAAAAAAAAAGACCGAGAAAAAGGGAATGCACGGTCCTTAGCAAACGTTGCCCTGGGGAAAAACTCGTATACAGTTAGGGGGAAAAACTCGTATACAGAAGCGTGTGGCTTATTAAAAAAAAAAAAAAAAAACACGAAGAAACAGATCGTCACTGGAAAGTGAACTGATTCTCTGTGTAAAAAAAAATAAATTACAAATAATAATAAATTGAAAAAAAAATCGTCATTGGAAAGGATTATGTGTGCATTCGGATATTCAAAGGTCAAACTGAGAGCGTACTAAGAATCAACCTCAGGGGCGAGCTCCCACTAGCAAAGAGGATTTAGATTTCTAAGAGCGTGAATCTGGATGCGGTTTGTGCAGAGATGCAGAACGGCATCTGATTCAATTATAGCGATTTTCTGCACTTGTCCACGAGCCACGTCCAGATTCAGGCGTTTAATCCAATCTTCTGTTTGCTGGCGGAGGTCCCACTCAACTGGATCCGCCGGTTTCTGGCTGTTGCAGCTTGGTTATCAGAAGGATTTGAACTTTTAAGAGCCTGAATCTGGACGTGTTTAACGCAGAGATGCAGAAATGAACTTTTAAGAGCCTGGATCTGGACGTGTTTAACGCAGAGATGCAGAATCGAAGATCAAGTATAGCGATTTTCTGCACTTATTCACGAACCACGTCCAGATTCAGGCGTTTAATTCAATCCTCTCTTTGCTGGTCGAGGTCCCACTCAACTCGAGCTTCATTATCGAAGGGGGGGGGGGGGGGGGGGGAAACGGAAAATCTGGGAAAGTGGGACCCCTTTTATGTTGGGACCTCACCCCCGACTGCAGGCGTTGGATTTCTTTTCTTTTTAACTGTCCTTTTTTTTTTATTTCAAAACGTAGAGGTAGAGATAGGGTCTCGCTCAGTGGGACCACAAAATAAAAAAAAAAAAAAAAAAAAAAAGGAGTCGTGCCTCTATACAGTAAACTCTCTAACTCTTCGAGTCGCCTAAGGTACGGCAAAAACATTTACCTCATAAAGGAATACTGTCTCGACTGAGCGTTGACGTAATTGACGTCAGATGCATCCTGGGAAGTCCATGTATATAGTGTATGTATTGGGCTGAATACGCTTCCTGTTTTTTCCCCCCCCTCTATTTAAAAAAAAAGGAAATGGCATGCTCGAACACAGATCGGAACAGATATTACACGAGATCTTAGCCCAAAGGACGACTGTGGTTCATGCCATGCATCTAACTGAATGTATGGAGCCGACAATTACGGTAAAATTCCGTGGCCATATTGTGAATGTATTTGACGTCAATGACAGTCAAATTCAGTCGAGAAAGTCAAAGAGTCGTGAGTATCCCCTGCAGTCAGAAATATTTCCTTTCCGTTCCTGCCCACCGTATTCCCCCGAATAGAACGCAAGGCCAGAATAGACCCGAATAGAACGCGAGGCCGGAATAGAACGCAAGGCCCGAATAGAACGCAAGGCCCGAATAGAACGCAAGGTCATTATACGTGTACTCGGGGCAACCATGGGGGTATAGCATATCCGCTGGTTTGGAAAAGTGCCAGTTCCGGCGGGAGTTTTGTGCCTTTGTTTTTTTTTTTTTTTTTTTTTTTTTTTTTTGTTTGGGCCTTTTTGGAAATGGAGAGCGTTTGGAAAAAAAAAAAAAAAAAAAAGGAGAGTGTGAGTAGCGGTGTCATCCGCCCTGAATCGCGCGGCGGTGGTTGGGTTTGGGGGCTCTGCGTCTATAGTTGGGGAGCTGGGGAACGGAACTATAGTTGGGCGCCCCGGCTGGTACCTAGTTTTTTTCCTTTTTTTTTTTTTTTTTTTTTTGAAAGCCTGGATGACGATTTAGGCGGGGTGATACGAGCAATAGTAGCAGAGAAAACTCACTGGCATGCAACGTACATCAGCCAAGTGACATATACGCTCAAAGCGTGTGAAGCAAGACACACAGATGGAAGAATAGCAGGATACAGATCGACGAATAGGCGGAGAGAGATGGAAGAATAGGAGGAGAGAGATGGAAGAACAGGAGGACAAGAATAGGTGCCTGGAGAGAGAAGCGAGAGCATGATATTAAGATGATCCCCCGGGCGCATCAGCTCTCATGTTATTATGATAAGCTCGGTAACACGAAAGAAGAATTATGGGTGACCCGGCGCTAGATCCCACTTGCACGAATTAAGAGATACGGACCGTAGATACCAAAGATCAACGGCCGAAACCTCCTAATCGGCGCAAGTGGGAACTTGCCCCCGGGCGGCCCGGCCCGTAGCCTAGGCATAACGCCATAGTCCTAGAGCAAACCTACATAAAAAAACAGAAAATAAAAAAATAGTCCTAGAGCACGCTCACGATTACCCTACTTTCCTGCCTTTTCCTTCACCGATCTCCTCATATCTTCTTTCTCCTTTTTTTTTATACATATCTTCTTTCTCCTAATGTTTGCAAAGTAACACAAATATTCAAAAAAAAAAAAAAACCACCACACAAATGGCAGCGTAAACTTCACAATGTCGGAGTAGAGTGATGTTGTTGTTGAAGAGCCTGTGCGTCGTCATTTTCCATATTACGGGCATGATTGCAGCTCTCCAGGACGTGCAACCATCGCCAGGCGTACCCATCCCGTCTTGGATGAGAACTTGTCGGGAAGAGGGGGGTTACAAAAAAAAAAAGAAAACTTGTCCGGGGCAGAAGGCGGATGACTACCATGGTTTCATCCCTTGGCCCACGCAATGCCTGCGCCCGAGATCATCTGTCGGTTGTTTCGATCTCTCTGATACTGGCCTGCCGTTTGGGCCTCGGCATGCATCGCCCTTGTATGGCGACCAGGTTAATGGTAGGCTACCGGCCGGGGCGCCCGGGTCACCCATTTTTCCCGGGCGGCCCGGCCGTGCAAGGACAAGGGAAGCTCCTCGCAAAAAAAAAAAAAAAAAAGAGAACCGAAAACAAAAAACAATGTTATGCAGAAAAGTAAGCTGAACAAGGTTTTTTTTTTTTTTTTCAATAAAAATTTATAATCATCAGGGCCCAGTGCCCAAGGCAATATACATAAGTAACGAAAGTTTCAGATTCAGGAGCCGCAAGTTCTTTTTTTTTTTTTTTCAATAAAAATTTATAATCATCAGGGCCCAGTGCCCAAGGCAATATACATAAGTAACCAAAGTTTCAGATTCAGGGGCCGCAAGGTCTCCACAGCTTCTCTGTGAGGTGGAGCCCCTCCCCTGTAGCCAGAGATGAGTATAAGCCTCGAGGCAAAAACAAGAAAAACAAAGAAAAATTCTAATAATAACAACTAAAAACAAACTATTTCTGAAAAAAAGTCACAGTTGCTTAAAAAGAACAATGTCTGTAAATTTGTACCTCATCACTTACCATGCCTGCAAGAAAGGCCCAAAAAGGAAATCTCCTGTGCATGTATCTATAGTGACAAGAGAAGGGCACGAGCCCCAATGCTTTTGGAACCAGGAAACGCCTGCTCGCAAACTCATCGGTTTTCCCAGTCTCTGTTTCCAGTCCAGATAAATGATATGGCGCAGATCTCTCTTGATCCTGTGAAGCATCTGTTGTGTAGAAGGCAATTCCTTGGACAGCTTCATTTTTTTTTTTCTTCTTTTTTTGTTATCAACGTTAAACCTAGGCTACCAGAGTGGCCCGGGACCACTTACCCGGCCGGACCCCCCCAATTTATTTTTATTTTTATTTTTTTTTGGTAAAAAAAAAAAAGAAAGAAAAAAGAAAAAGAGACCGAATGAATGTGTCCCTTTTCTTACAAAACAAAAGAGGGAAAAAAGGAAAAAAGCTTTTTAAAAAAAGCTGTTCAGTTAACCCAAGAGCCTAGCTCAGTGGATACACCCATGAACTGTTGAAATACAGACCTGTGTTCGAATCCATATCATGGAACTCGGCGAGTAAAACCAAGTACTAATGAATTGCTTGGGGGCCGGTCAGCTCAATGATAATATCCCATGAATCCCTTAGAGCAACAGTGCTCTGGCATTTATGGAGGTAAAGAAATGATGTCCATATCTCAAGGCGGTCTCCCTTTTTAAATGAAAAAAGAAAAGAACGGATTTGCTGGCCATAAGGCCCATAAGATTGTGGTAGCGGGACTGCCGCACCTGGTCCTAGGGTAGGGATATGCTGGCCGTATCGTAGGTATCAGGACCTCACCCAGGTTCCAGGGCAAAGTCCCACTTGCATGGATCCAGAGATATACTGGGCCTGGAAAGACGGTTCATGCCTAGGACCTGGGCCCGGCCTGCTGCGAGGCTGGCGCGAGGACCCAGTTGTGCCATGGAAGAGGAGATACTTGCCCTAAATAGCAGGGGCATGACCAGGCCCTCAGAGGGCCCATTACAGGCCCGGTGAAAGGTCCCACTTGCACAGATTAAGGTCTCCAATCAATAGTCTTCATCCATGCAAGTGGGACCATGGCCAGGGACCGGACCTGTACCCAGGCCCAGGACAGTTGTTAATATGCGCAGGGGTGGGCCCTTGCTGGAAAGGCCCGCGGTTCCCC